ATATGGAGGGGATTATAATCAATGTAATGAAACAAGCTATATGAATTGTTGAATGTGAAACTGATGATGTGCTCTGTAAACTTTCACTCAATCCACAATAAAAACCTTTAAAAAAAAAAAAAAAACTCTGAGCCTTACCACACCAAGCCGGAAGACAGACTCCCGCAGTGAGTTGGGCAGGAGCACAAAGGCCTTGATCTCCATCTGGGGGGTCAAGGACATATTCCCAGGGCTGAAGGCCAGGAATGGGGCAGAGACCACTGTTCCCTGGAGCTCCAAGTTCATGTTAGGGTATAGCCTGGCTATCTGGAGGCAGAATTGGGGGATGATGTCAAGCACATGAAATACACAGGTCTGCCAGAAGAGCCTAGACAGAGGCTGATAAAACTGAGAATGCTTTTTAGTTGGTTTCATTTCCCACAAAATGCTCTGTGCTCATGCACTTTTCTCTTAGCGATTCGATGTCTTCCCATTATCGCTTGGATTTTGTCTGTTTCATGGTTGTGTTGTATCCCATTGTGTATGTCTACCATAATTATGCTATCCCTATGAGGAGTCCTGGTATGGTGCTATAGGATAAGCACTGAACTGCTTACTGCTAAGTAGCAGTTAAACTTACCATCTGCTCCTCCAAAACCCGATACAAGGTGGCTATGAGTTGGAACCAACTCAACAGCACTTAAGAACAAACGGACATTAAGCTGTCTCCAAGGTTCTGCTATGAGAATGACCACCCACCTGGGTACATTTTGGCCATTCTTTCTGGGAAAATATTCCTAGAGGTGAAATTTCTGAGTCCCAGTGCAAGGATACGTTTTAGACGGCTGACAATGATTGCCAAACTACCTTTCAGAAATGTTGACCAATTTTTTTCATTCTCCCCTTCCCAGGACAATGAGTGAGAGCGAACACATCCTCACCACACTTGAGCTGTCCAGGAGCCAATGGTTTTGAAGAATGAAGCAACTAGATCCCACCATATCAAAAGTGCTAGTGATTTTTTTTGTTTTGTTTAGCTAGAGATAGGCCCAGAACTAATTATTGTTGTTGTTAAGTGTCACCAAGTCATACTGACCCTCTATGGTGTCCCAAGAAACTGCTGATCTTGTGGTCCAGTGCTTATCCTACAGTGCCACACCAGAACTTAATATGGGGGGAAGCTATTCCTTTTTGGGGGTGGCTGCGGACTGGGTAAAGGAATGATAGTCTCACAAGTCTTTTGGTTATGCAATTATAAACCCCCACATGCTGTTCTAGAAGGGAAATGTTTGGAAGTTTGAGAGGTAAACTGATATACTAAGAAGGTAGGCAGAGTTACTTCTCTGCTGTGCAGGAAGTGGGAGGAAAAAATTCCTTTTCTCTCTGGGGCAGAAGGGATGTTGGCACCAGGATGTGGCCAAGGGGATTCCACAGCTAGCTTTAACAATATGGTAGCAGAGTGGGCTGTAAGTGGGGCTCTAAGGAGGCTCCTTGTGAAAGGATAGGACCCAGGTATTGCAAGGCTTGAAGTTCAAATTTCCCCTCAGCATTGTAATCCCCCTCGACTACTCCCTACCCCTTCGCAAGGCACATTAAATACTTCCACCTTCCAGTGCCCCAGGAGGATTTCTGAAGATTATATGAGATGGTACCCATAGAGAACTGAGCCCAGCAAAGCGGCAAGGTTACTCACTTTAACACTGGTTGTCATAACCCCAGAGTGGAAACAACCTACATGCCTACTTGTGGAGGATCTGTTAAACCAACCATAGCAAATCCTTCCCATAGCATTACTGGATGGTGGTGGTGGTGTGCCGTGGAGTTGGTTCTGACTCATAGCAACCCTGCATAGAGCTTCCAATGCTATAAATCTTTATGGGAGCAGAAAGCCTCATCTTTTTCCCATGGAACAGCTGGCAGTTTTGAACTACTGGATACTCATAGAAAAAAAAGAGTAAGTATGCTTTTATTTACCTATGTGGACCCATCTCCCAGATATAATAAGGGAACAAGTAAGGTGGAAAATGGTATGTATTGTATGTTTCCATTTATGTATCAAGTGTGGGAAATTTTGTTGTATATACTACATGGAATCTCACCAGGTGGATACACACATACAATTGGTGGGAACCAGGTGGTTAGGGAACAGGAGTGGTTAGGAGATTTTTCACTATACAACCTTTGATAGCTTTTAAATGTTGAGCTATGAGAATTTACTATCGATTAATTTTTATTATTTTTTTAAAGAACCAAGAAAAGTACTTGGACCCTAGTAAACCCTCTGTAAGTATTGGAGTTATTCATGAAGGCATAGTCTATGGAACATGTCAGTTGTCCTTGAGACTTTCAAATAACACCTGTGGTTGCACAAGATACAGAGCTGGGGTTTCTGTCGTTTGAGTTTTGAAGGGAAGGGCCTGGAAGCTGCAGTATCATGGCCTTCCCAGGGCGGCCTCTGAGAGGAGCCCAGAGATTTTAAAGAGGTTCTATGAAGTCCAGGCACTCAGTCTGCTCCCACCGAGGGCAGTGGAAGGCCTTACCCGGGGGATGAAGGGTCGGACGGACTTGGTGGTCAGTCGGATGTGAAAGTCAGGCGGAATCTGCAGCAAAGAAACACAAAGACATTGTAGGGAGGGGAAGGTCTGAGAGAGGTGGGAAGTGGAGGAATGTTTAAAACTAGTCCCCGATTTCCTGGTGTTACCCTCCTACATGTGTTCCAGGGCCTGGCTGTTGTCCTTGGGCATGTATGTAACATCAGGGGCTCACTTTGCAGTCACACAGACCTAGGCTTGATTCCTGTGTGCTCTTGGGCTGGTCCCTTGACCTCTCTGAGCCTCAACTTCCTCATCTATAAAATGGAGATAATAAAAGGCCCCATATATTGTGAGGGCCAAATGAGACGGTATTTACAAGGCATCTAGCGCAGGCCTAGCACACAGTGAGTACTCAAGAAATCACATTTATTTTCATCTCATTCACTAAAACAGAGGCTCTGCATCTCAGGTGTGATGCATGAATCAAATGTGATAATAGAAGTGAAAGGTGTGTGGATGTGGGAGACATAGTTTGAAGGACATAAAGTCACTCCACCCATCCAGCAGATGGTTCCCAATTTATTATTGGGGTAAACGGGACCATCTAAATGGAGCACACTATGTTTCCCCCACCATCTTGACATCATCCTCAAGGCCTCAGCTTTCACAAAGTGCTACAAGGAATGATTTTTTTGAAACCCAGAAACATTAAAGAAAAAAGAGAAACATCAAAGATTTGATTCTCTATAGAATTCAGTCTCCCTTATATAAAGCTCCACTTGAGACAGTTGTTGTTGTTTTTAAGTACCGTGGAGTCAGTTCCGACTCATAGTGACCCTGCACAGGGTTTTCAAGGCTGTGAATCTTTACAGGAGTGGAACTGCTAGGAGTTTCGAACTGCTGACCTTGAGGTTGGTAGCCTGACTCGTAACCACTACGCTACCAGAAACAGTTACTGTAAAGCAAATACTGGAAAGACTTTGTCTGTCTTTTCACAATGACTTACTAAACCATCTACCCTTTTTACTTTGGCTACTAGGAAGCTCTCAAACAGATTTGTAATAATAACATCAATTCAGAATTATATTTTTCACTTGGTCTTTTTTCCTGTTCTATGTAACCTTAAACATTTATCAGTGTATCTATTATCCTTTCCTCATTCAATAAAATCTTTTTTTTTTAATCCCCCAAACCATCAAGGTAAGGAAAATTAGAATACAAATAAATATCACTATACAGATTAGAATAGCAGGTCTAGATGTGGGGGAAAGTAAAACACAGACAAGCAGGCTAGAGTTTTCCACTGTTCTTATGAGGAAGATAGAAATTTGGCTATGAGCTTTCTGGTAGCCAAGGTGAAAGGGGAAACCAAGTTAACTTACATTTTTCCTAGTCCTGTTTTTGTTTCTTTTGGTTATATTTTACAATTTTACTGATGTAAAATGGGGTGAGAAGAAAAGAAGGACGTCATCCTGCCACAATCCTCACCAAGTCATCGGTGACAGAGAAGTTCAGGTACCCTGCCTGGTGATACACCAGGCTAGCCGTGTTGAAGACATAATCTGAGATGGCAAAGTAGACCATTTTACTGTGCTCCTCAGGAAGACTCATGACAGGAGGAAGGAAAGCAACTGGGGAACGTTGATTCAGGTTAAATATTTCACCCTGGGAAAGAAATTGAGTCTCATTGAACTTGTTGAAGTCTACTGCAGGCCTACACATCTGGCAAGGTGTTCACCTACACAGCCTCATGAGGGGGCTCTGGTTGGGGACACTCCCTGAAACTCCACCATTAAAGATGTTTTCTTTTTTACTTAATTATGTGTCTCCAGAAGGCCTTAATGAAAAGCTCCCAGAGGCTTTGCTGTATTAGCCCTCATGATCTGCTGGTTAGCTTCCTCCTACCACTTAGGGGCAGTTCAGACTGACCTCACCTACATGGAGGGCCAGGCAAGGGACGGGGAAAGTCCAGAGTCCAAGTTGGTGAAACATGTGGCTCAGAAACCCTCCCTACTACCCCATTTAACCCTGAGCTCAACCCAACTGGGACAACTGGGGAGGAGAGAACAGATTTGAAACCAGGGGGACAGGAAGGTTCTGACCCTGTGGGAATGTCACACTGGAACTGGACCCATGCAGACCCTGACTCTTGGGACTCTCACCTTAAACATCACGTCCAGCATTTGGGCTGCTGCCTGAGGGGCCTCCAGTAAGCTGTAATCAATACTGGCGAAACTATCAATCTCTGTTGTGACTGGAACCAGGACAGGGACAAAATTAGAAGCCTTTGGCTGATGAAGGTGTGAGGGTTCTGGCTGACCCAAGTCCCTCCACCCAGCCCAGCCCTGGCAAAGAGTTTGGCTGGGACCTTTCTCTCTCATGCACACACACACACATACCATGCAAAAACACTTGCAGGCACACACAATGGGTAAGAGCAACCCAGGTTTGGCAGTCCTTCACTATCTGGGGCTTCATGACAAGAGAGTTCACAGTGGGGAGAATTCTCCAGGGCATTGCTCACTCATTTTATAGCTGAGACCTCGATCATTAGGGAAACTGGTCCCCTAATGACTTGAGTCAAATAGCCGGAAGGCCAGACCAATCCCACAGAGCCCCAGACTCTGCCCTCAATGTTAGTTCTGGATGAACAAGAGTTCGATGCCCCATGCATTGGGATTGCTGTGGCCTCCCAGGCCCTCATCTGAAGAAAATGTCAACACTGACTGTGTGGGGACCAGAGAGCCATGGCATGACAGAATGCCCCAGACAATTTGCCAACATGCCAATTGAAAACTTTAAGTGTGTGCCCTGGATCCAGGAGTTTCGCCTGTAGATAGTTATTCTGCAGATACAATTGTGCATATGGGTGAAGAAGCATGCACAAGGGAGCTCCCGACAGCTCAGTTTGTAATAGCAAAAGATGGCGTGATGAATGGCATTGCGTCCTCCAAAAGATATGTTGACATCCTTATTCCTGCACCTATGAATGGAACACTGTTTAGAAATAATATATTCCAAAAAGTTATCTCTGGGGTTAGCATAAGGTCATACTTTTGGCAGGGTGGGCCCTAGTCTTAACTGACTGGTGTCTTTATAGAAGAGAAGATACACCGAGAGACAGGGAGACTGAGGATGCACACTATATGATACTGCAACTGCAAGCCAAGTAACACCTAGAGTTACCAGACTGCTAGGAGAGAGACACGGGACACGGAGCAGTTTCTCTGTGTGTCCTCAAAAGGATTAGATTTGAACTCTCCAGAACTGTGAGACACTAAAATTTCTGTTCCTTTGTAAGCCCCCCCCCCCATTGATGGTATTTTTATATCAAATAGGAAATGAATACAGATGGCAAAACCCAAAAAAATCTATCATTTGGAAACTTACTAAGTAAATGAAGACACATTCATATGCTGGAATACTACACAGCTATTAATATTAATGAGGTCTGGAATGCTACCCAATATTTATAGAAGTGACTTTGATGCTTACTAAACTTTTCAAAAAAAAAAAAAAAAATAGAAGAGGAGGGAATACTTTTAACTTATTCTTTGAGGTTAGTATTGTTATGATACCAAAGCCAGACAGACATTGCAAGAAATGAAAATTGCAAATCAATATCTGTATAACAATCTTCAACAAAATACTAGCAAATTGAGTCCAAAAGCACATATATAAAAAAAGAGTGTCACCGTGATCAAGTGGGATTTATCCCAGCAGTGTAAGGGTGGTTCAACAGTAGGAAATCAATCAAGCAACACATCGCATCAATAGAACACAGGAAAAGAACCACATGATCATCTCAGCCAATGTAGAAAAGGCATTTGACAAAATCCGACACCCTTTCATAATAAAAGCACTCAATCAACTACGAATAGAAGGGAAATTCCTCAATCTGATAAAGAGTATTTATGAAAAACAGATGACTAACATCATACTCAATGGACAAAAACTACGAGAATGTTCCCTTTAAGATCTTTCACCATTGCTATTCAACATTGTACTGGAATTTCTTACCAAAGCAACTGGGCAAATAAAAGAAAAGGCATCCAAATCAAGAATGGAAAAGTAAAACGATTCCTGCTTGCACATGTATATTTACAACTGCAGTCCTGGTATAGCACTGTAGGATAAGCACTGCACTGCTCTCCATTAGGTCAGCTGTTCAAACCCACTAGCCACTCCTTGGAAACCCTATACAGGGTCACTATGAGTTGGAACTTAACAACAATAACAGCATATTCACAATTATGCATATCCACATATATTCATAAGCAAAAGGGATATATTAGAATATAAATTCATATACTTACATGTACTTATTATTTATATTTGTACATGAAAAGGAAAAGTCTATAAGGATACCCACCAAAACATGAAACAAAGTTGGTAGGAATGGGTTATTTTATTTGTACACCTCTGCCTCATTTAATGTTTTCATAAAGTATATATATATACATATACATAACATATACATATACATATACTAAGGAGCTCTGGTAGTATAGTGGTTACTAGTCAGACTGCTAACCTCAAGGTCAGCAGTTCAAAACTACTAGCTGTTCCACAGGAGAAAGATGAGGCTTTCTGCTCCTGTAAAGATTTACAGCCTCGGAAACCCTGTACAGGGTTGCTGTGAGTTAGAACCAGCTCTGCAACACACCACCATGATGTATATATCCTAATAAACACAGATGGAAATAATACGTCCCAGGGACAGGTGGGGCACCCTACCTGGCATAGTTTGAAGATAAGATTGTAAGTCAGAGATCACTGATTGCTGGACCATTTCACAAATCTGAAAAAAAAACACAAAACAAAACTGGACACAAAAGGCTGAGAGAATTCCTCAGCTTTGATCTGGTATCTATCACTTTAGTTTACATCCTTGCTCACTGGCCATGGATCCTACAAACATTTGTAAGCGCTTACTATGTGCCAGGTACCAAAGACACAGAAACAATCAAAAACATAGGTCTTGGTCTCTGAGAATTTGGAATTTAATAGCAGAAGGAGACAATAAACAGAAATAGCCACACAAATAAACGTAGACCAAATGTAGAAACTTCTTAATGGTCATCTCTCAATAAATTGGGTAGACTAATCGATATTCCCACTTCCTCTGTGTGAAGGACCTGAGTGCTTACTTACATCTAGTAGGCCATTCTCACATGGTTGGCTGGGTGGTTATGTGCCATGGAGTTGGTTCCGACTCATAGTGACCCTGTATAGGGTTTCTGAGGCTATAAATCTTTATGTGAGCACAAAATCTTGTCTTTCTCCCACAGAACAGCTGGTAATTTTGAACTGCTGACCTTGAGGTTAGCAGCCCAACTCATAACCACTACTCTACCAGAGCTCCTTCCTCACACAGTATGTACACACAATGTGTCTGCCAGGTGAGCTGAATACTTCCCATGAGAATGGTGATCCCATACCTGTTTGGTGCACTTCCTATAGTAATCACTTGAACGATTTATTATTATGTTGTTGCTGTTAAGTGCTGTGGAGTTGGATCCAACTCATAGCAACCCTGTACAGGGTTTCTGAGAAGCAGCTGGTGGGTTTGAACCACCAACCTTGTGAGTCAAGCAGACCTTGCGGTCCAGTGCATTAGTCTGCAGTGAAAATAAAGTTATTTCAAGAAAACCTAAGGTAAATGCTGCGGAAAGGTGAGTTGCTACACAAACCTGCTGTGAAATTGGGTGTGGACCAGACCAAAGGAAAGCTTGGGAGAAAAAAAGATCAGGAAACTCTTGAAGGATTCTGCACTGCCATTGCTTTGCAAGTATCTTTACATTTGTGATTAAAGAAATGACAAGAGTCAGTGCCACAGCAATCAACAGATTTGTTTCAAAGACTAACTCTGGGCCCTACCTCAACAAATCACATAGTGGCCTACATGTGGTTGTAATTGCTAGCTGCCAGTGGAGCCTGTATTTTAAAATATTTAGGATTCATATGTAAATATTCTTTTTGCTTATGTGTGACAGGGAGAGTCCTTATTTTAGGCATCTTTGTTTAATGAACCAACTACAACCTAGTATGCACATCATAAGGGACAGGGACTTGGGAGCTCCTAGGGTATATGATGGGATCCCTGCCTAAAGAGTCATCAAGAAGCCCTTGTAGCCTAACAGTTAAGCACTCGGCGCCTAATGGAAAAGTTGATGGTTCAGATCCACCCAGTGGCTCTGAGGGAATATGGCCTGGTGATTTGCTCCTGTAAAGATTACAGCCTAGACAACCCCATGGGGCAGTTCTACTCTGTCACATGGGGTTGCTGTGAGTCAGAAAGGAGTTCTGGTATGGGTCAATGCACTGGACTGCAAAGGCGGTTTGAACTGAAAGGCCGGAGGTTTAAGTTCAATGTTGCTCCTTGGAAACCCTACACAGGGTCGATATGGGTCAGAACCAATTCGAAGGCACTTAACAACAACAAGAGCAAATGAGTGACCAGGCCCAGGAGTAGTGGGGAAGGGACATGTTGGGGACTAAGCAGACCAAAGGTTAAATCTTGACTTCCCTTTGTAGGCGCCCCAGTTTCTGCGAGAGGAGTTTGGTAGTGGGGACCTGCCAGAATGTCAAGAAACCAGAAAACTCCATTGGTTTCTCACTCTCCCAAGATTGTTTCCTTGTTTATCCTTCAACAGTGGCCCATTAGACCATCCCAAAGACCCAGAGTCTGAATGACACTCAGTGGCAGACACACAGTAAGGTGTCCAGGGGAGGCTGGTTGGGATAGTGGTTGAGGGTCAGCCAGCAAGTCAGATGGGCAGGGTTCAAATCCCAATTGGTCCCACTAGTTGTATGACCTCTGCAGAGCCTCTCGGATTTAGGGTCCTCACTCACAGGACTAAACAAAGTCAGGTGCCTCCAGGGCTTTTTAAGGGAACCATTCAGTAAATGCACCTTATTGTTACATGACCAACCCCTGCTGGTTCAGATCCCATATCTGCTCCCACCAGAGAATTAGAAAGGTCCCAGGCCTGCTTCTTTGCCTTCCTGGGAGAAGAGGAATTTTGAAAAGAAACAGCGGATGTCCCATCCTGGTAAGGCCTGGGTACAAGTAAGTTCAAATCCTGACTCAGCCCTCTCAGAAGGTACACAAGAAAGTCACACCACCTTTCAGAACCTCTTCAGTAATTGGAAAATGGCATGTGCTCCACGAGGCTGTGGCTGGGGTTTGACAGGAAATACAAAGTGCTGAGCACATTATTTCTGGGCAGACAACAGCTCAAGATGTAGCAGCCATTATTATTATAAATGCGAATAGTTTCACAACCATATATTCTGTTTAACATTATTTCTATTAATTTATCAAAGCAATAAGTACCTGGGTATACAATTATAATTAATTGTAATGCATTACACTAATACTATTGTTAATAAAGGAGCTCTGGTAGTGTAATGGTTACAAATCGGGCTGCGAATCACAAGGTCAGCAGCTCGAAACTACCAGCTGTTCCGTGGGAGAAAGATGAGGCGTTCTGCTCCTGTAAAGATTTACAGCCATGGAAACCCTGTACAGGGTCACTATGAGGCGGGACCGACTCCACGGCATACAGCCAATTGTTATATAATATCAATAATAATTATTATCATCACTACCATCAATTGCTAATGTTGTTGTTAAGTGCCATGGAGTCAGTTCTGACTCATAGAGACTCTGTATAGGATTTCTGAGGAGCAGCTGGTGGCTTTGAACCACTGACTTGTGGTTAGCAATCCAATGCTTATCCTACAGTGCCACACCAAGACTCCACCATCATCAATTATTGCTGTTGTTAAGTGCCGATGAGCCCATTTTGACTCATAGTGACACTGTATAGAGTTTCTGAGAGCGGCTGGTGGGTTTAAACTGACGAGCTTTCGGTTATCTTGGTTAGAAGTCCAGTGCTTATCTTACAATGTAGGATAAATCCGTACCACTGAAGAGGATTATGCCCCATTTATAAAGGCATTGAAGCATGGCAAGAAGATGCCTGGAAAAGGAGGTTGGCATATTTCCTGAGCTCACCCGAAAAGTAACCGCAGCCCGCTTGCTACCCCTCCCTTCGATGGGATCTGCTGGTTATTCCCCATTTAACCACTAGGTGGCACTCTAAGCCAAAATAGAGGTGGACAAAGAGCCACTGTGAGAGAGGGCGGAGGAGGGGAAAAGGAGTGAGGGATTGAGAAATGAAAAAGAGAAAGAGAGGAGGAGGATGGTAAATAGGTAGAGGGAGGGAAAGAGAGACAAAAAGATCTTCACTCTTTTCTTCTTCGTTACTTTCTCTCTTCTCACTGCATTGCTACAGTCACAGCTCAGGGGCACAGCTCCGGGTGTTGTTATTAGGGGTAGTCGGGTTGGTTCTGACTCATAGCGACCCTATGCACAGCAGAATAAACCACTGCCCAGTCCTGCACTATCCGCACAATTGTTGTTATGTTTCAACCTATTGTTGTTGCCCCGGTGTCAATCCTTCTCTTTGAGGATTTCCTCTTTTTTGCTGACCCTCTGCTTTTCCAAGCATGATGTCCTTCTCCAGGGACTGGCCCCTCCTGAAAACATGCCTAAAGTACGAGAGACAAAGTCATCCTCGCTTCTAAGGAACATTCTGGCTGTATCTCTTCCAAAATAGAGTTGTTTGTTCTTCTGGTAGTCCATGGTATTTTCAATATTCTTCTCCAACACTATAATTCAAATGCATTGATTCTTCTATGATCTTCTTTATTCAATTTTCAGGTGTATAATACCTCGGAAATGAGATTTTTGAGTGAAATGAGTGTCTGGGGAAACTGAGAATTACCACAAAATCTCTGTTTTGCCTAGAAATGACAAGATTTGGAGATTTTATACTATATATATTGATGGCACATAATAACAACAATCCTATATCTATGTATAGGACTGCTGATGTGGCACTATAGGATCAGCACCAGACTTTGAACTGCAAGGTCGGCAGTTGAAACTTACCAGCTGCTCTAATAAAGGGTCACTATGAGAGGGAACTGATTCAACAGCACTTAGCAACAACAATAACACATCTATATATGGGAGCGCGGTAGTTCCATATGATAAGCACTGGACTGAGAACTACAAGGTCTGTGGTTGGAGCCCACCAGCTGCTCCATGAGAGAAAGATGAGGCTTTCTGCGTCTGTGAAGATTTAAAGCCTTGAAAACCCTATGCAGGGTCACTGTGAGTCGGAACACTTAGCAACAACAACAACAGCATCTTTATGTATCTAGGATAAATTTTTTAAAAATATTGCTACTACTGTCCCAATTCACACATGCATGGACTTATTCCAAACAAAAGTGTTTAAACATGTCTCTGTGATCAGTAGATGGCTGCAGACAAATTTTCTTAGTAATATTTGTCTTTGTCTTGTCCAGATGCCCAAAAAGAAAAGGACAAATCAAAATAGTGGCTTCCAAGGAGATCTTATGGGCCAGTTAAATTCAAAGCAGAGAGGCCAGAAGGTTGTAGCGATTGTTTGGGGGGGGGGGGGGGGGGGGGAATGCCAAAGGGTTCACCTTGATAGAGATAGAGTTTCTCAAAGAACACAGGTTGATCATAAGGGCTTATTTTGAAGAGTTTTAAGAAAATGGGAAACCGTAGTGGTGAGAAAAAGGCCAGGAAAGTTGTGTGGAGGAATTTTTTTCTATCATTGCCAGGCACCTACTCGTTCTTTGAGGATAGCAACGGATGTCCTAGGAGAATTTCATTGGGAAGCCTTACCCCAACCACCCTCCAGCACCGATCTGGCCTCTTCAGTTTTCTTTTTGTTCCCCAAACTCAAAGAATATTTAAAAAGAACATAGTATTTGAGTCTTTCAAGAATGCCCAAGCTACCAGTTTGACATGGTGTAAATCAAAGAGCACAGAATTCTTTGGGGGAGGGTTAGAGAAATGGAAACACCCCCTTCAGAAGTACATAGACCTAGATGGAGGATGTGTTGAGAAACAATGGCTTCACATTTTCATATCTTTGTTTAGTAAAGGTTTGTATTGTTTTGTAGCAATTTTTTTTTTTTTTTTTTTACTTATGTATGTTTCTTTTTTAGTGGGGCAATCTAACAGTGTTGGTGCTTTCTCCATCCAGGGTAGGTACTCAAGAGCTGGTCCCAGTTCCCACCTGGTCCCCAGTACTTCCCATAGTTACCACCTGGTTTCTGCAGACACCTGAGCATTGATTGCCTGTTTGGCCTTCATGGATTGCAGGGCAGCGTCGGGATAGTGGACAAGGCCAAGCCTTCTCTGCCTAGCTGGACAGACTTGGAGTCTGTTTGAGTCCCTAATCTTAATACACACTTTCTCTGTGACCTGGGGCAGATGCTTTGTCCTCTCTAAGCACCTGGAATAGCTGCAGTGGCTTGTCCAGGACCAGGGCTCAATGCAGACTTCTGACCAGGCCTCACATGGCTCAGTGGACTCAGAAAGGCTTGGACCCTCTTACCTTGCTCTCCAGCACTCTTTGGAACCTGGACTCGATCTGATGATGGAACAGATTTAGCAGCCAGCTGCAGAGAGGACCACAGTGAGTCAGCTGTCTGTCTGAGGTGGCAGGGGAAGGCAGGCCCCAACCTCTGGCTCATCCAACCTTCCCATCCCCCTCCTGGTGTCCCTCTGTGTCCCAGTACCCCTGGGGAGGGCTGGAAATACATAGTCCTTGTCCTCTGCACACTCACCCCAATTCAGTGCAGATCTGAAACACCAGATCTCTATCGCACCCCAACCAAATTCAGTGTAATAGATTTTTCACAAACTCTCCTTGGGCCAAAAGTCTTTGTGTTACTCTTGCTCATAGCTCATCTGCCTCAGGAGGCCCCTAAAGCTTGCTTTTTGTGTGGATGGAAATGACTCATTAATACCATTGGTTTGAATCTGCACCTGTTCATCTCAGCAGGGTCCCCGAGAGAATTACAAATGCACAGGAAATGCACCAGGTATGGCAGTGTAGGATAGGTACTGGACTACTAACTGCTAGGTCGGCTGTCAAACCACCAGTCAATTCTTAGAAACTGACTTGAGGGCGCTTAACGACAACAACATACAAGTAAAATAAACAAACACAAAAACAACCTGCGGCCCACTCTCTACTGGTCACCTCTATTGCATGCCCTCTGCTTATCCGCTGTCCCAGGTTTCACACCTCTGGTGGTCAGTTGTTCATTTCACACACAGTCATTCATTCTCTCCTATGAGGAGTCCTGGCATGGTGCTATTTGATCAGCACTGGACTGCTAACCACAAAGCTGCCCTCACTGTGAGTTGGAACCCACTCGATAGCACTTAACAACAGTTATCTATATGTATCTGTTGTTGTTGTTAAGTGCCGTCAAGTGGGTTCCAACCCATAGTGATCCTGTATAGGGTTTCAGAGGTGAGCTTGAAATACCGACCTTACAGTACAGCACATTAACCCACAGCACCACACCAGGACCCAGAAATGTATCTAGATATATCTCTATATATATACAGACAGCTATGTTATTGTTAAGTGCCGATGTGAACTGCTGATCTTGTGGTTAGCTGTCCAGTGCTGATCCTACAGTGCCACACCAGGAGTCCATATATAGCTATGTTATTGTTGTTAAGTGCTGTCAACTCGTTTCCAACCTTGTGGTTCAAACGACTTTGCAGTCCAGCACATTAACCCACAGCGCTACACCATATATAGCTGTTGTTGGTTGCTTGGTTATGTGCTGTGGAGTCGATTCCGACTCATAGTGACCCTGTACAGGGTTTCTGAGGCTTTAAATCTTTACGGGAGTAGAAAGCCTCATCTTTCTCCCACAGAACAGCTGGTAGTTTCGAAATACTGACCTTACAGTTCACAGCCCGATTTGTAACCACTATGCTACCAGAGCTCCTTATATATATAGCTGTAGGGTAAGTCAAAAAGTGTTGCTACTAGGGTTTATTCCATACAAAAAGCATTTAAACATGTCTTTGTGATCAGTAGATGGCTACAGACAAGTTCTCTTAGTAATACACTCATCTTTATCTTTTAGGAAGTCTTCAAAAAAAAAAAGTTTAATCAAAATAGTGGCTTCTAAGGGGGTTTTCTGGGACGGACTTGATGGCACTTAACAACATCAACAAATCTGAGATTCATAGCAAAGGTCAGGCCTTGGGCTGAATGGGCCTGGGCTGCCACCAGGGGCCAAGCTGGCCAGTGTCCCTTGTGACCTACTTCAAATCTCCTGAGATATCCACATCCACATCACAGATTTGGCTGTTGCAGCTGGAGGTGGTGACCGTGGGCCTCCCAGAAGCCTCGCTGCCCAAGAGAAGGTTGACTGAAATACTGATGCCTTTGAAACGCAGGTCAAAGGAACCTTGTAGTTTCCTGAAAGAGATTGGAGAAGCAATGGCTGAGTCTTACACTACCACACTATTTGGGGAGATGTAAAGCTCAATTCTTACCCCAAAATAAAAACCAGATGGAGCAAAGAATTAAGAATAACAAAGGAGGCCAAGAGAGATCTAGAGGGAAGCCTGGGTTCAGTTGTTTATGGCCAGGGGTTGGACGCAGGGGTTTCTAGTCAGGATTCAAATCTCAGAAGTCATAAAGGAAATGGTCGATAAACTTGTTCCAAACCCCAAACCCACTGCCATCTAGTCAATTCTGACTCAGAGACCTTATAGCACAGAGTGGAGCGGTCAATCTTCATACAAGCAGACTGCCTCTTTTTTATCCTACAGAGTGGCTGGTGGCTTTGAATTGCTGACCTTTCAGTTAGCAGCTCAATGCTCAACCCACCGTGCCACTGGACTCCTGATAAACTTCTTAAGTGCCATGAGTCGGTTCTGACCCATAGCGATCCTGTATAGGGTTTCCCAGGAGCGGCTGGTAAGCTTGAACCACCAACCTTGCAATTCAAAGCAACCTTGCAGGCCAGTGCTTTAACCCACAGTGCCATACCAGGACTAGTCTGTTGTAAGGAGATACTATCAGCACTTTTCTGCAACACAGGTTGGTCATCAGTTCAAATGCAACAGCTGCTCTGTAGGAGAGAGAAGAGGCTGTCTGCTCTTGTAAAGATGAAGTCTCTGACACCTAGGAGTTGGAATTGACTTGATGGCCATGGGTTTATCTTAATTTTGGAGTCCTTAGGCACTCCACTACTGACAAGAAGTTTGGTGGTTCTAATCTACCCAGAAGCACCTCAGCAAACAGGTCTGCAATCTGCTTTCAAAAGGCTTGAAACCTCTACGATGCAATTCTACTCTGCACACGTTTGTTATGAGTTGGAACCAGCTCAGTGGCAACTAACAGCAACACAGCATCCTAATTTTAGTGGGGGAGGGTTACCTGTGAGTCATACCAACTCGACGGCACTTAGCAACAACAGCTCATGGCTCAGTGGTAGCATTCTTGCCTTCTGTGAAGTAGACCCAGATTCGATTCCCAGCCAATGAACCTGATGGCAGCTACCACCCATTCATCAGGGTGGTAGGGGTGGGGGTGGGAGCTTGCATGTTGCTGTGGTGCTGAAGTTTTCAGTGGTGTTTCCAGAAACAGATTAGAAAGAAAGGTTCGGAAATCTACTTCTGAAAATCAGACAATGAAAAGCCTGCATCACGATGGTCAGATCCCCAACTGATCATGGGGATGACACGTGACCAGACAGCATTCCATTCTGTTGTGTATGGGGTCATCATGAGTAGGGGGCCGACTCAATGGCATCTAACAACAAAAACAACAACAGGAAGACATTGGAACCAAGGAGGATGTGGTAAAGGCCTTGACCTGTGAGCCGGGAAGCTGAGTAGACTTACAGGAATGACTTGCGCACCTTCCACTTGCCCTGGACCCTGATGAAGGAGTCAGAGATGGTTAAGCTCAGGCCCTGGCCCGGGAGGGGCCTCAGAGCAGAGTTGTGCAGCTCGCAGCTGTGGATGTTCAGTCTGGGGAGAGAGCGGGCAGCAGGAGGCATCAACCTTTCAGAAACATTACTCCGACCTTTACACCCTGCCCACCCTCTGTGGGGACTTGGCTAGTAGGCCCTGCTTTCAGACAGGCATCTACTGTTAGTAAAGGCATCAACTGTACTAAGCCTTATCACTGAGGGCTTGCTCTGGGCCTACGGGGTCAGGACAGGGAATCTTCCCCTTTCACAGAAGGCAATGGAACCTCAGAGAAGGGGCGCATGGTGACAGAGTCAGAGTGAAACCCCACAAATCTCATGTTCTGGATAGGATCCTGGGAAGGGCCAGAGGTAAGCCCCTTTGAGTTCTGTGACTCCTTTGCCCAGCCACCACCTCCCTCACACATCAGAGACAGAGAGGCCTTGAGAGAGACACAAAAAGAGCTGGCAGGGGTGGGGTGGGGGGGATCAGTAGGAACAGAATGACCCTGCTCCACTCACTTGGCCTGGCATATAGTAGGTGCTCACTAGTGTTTGCTGATGGATTCCATGAAAGGAAGAGGGAATGAATGAAGCAATCAATGGTGGTGAGTAAGGAGTGGGGTGATGAGCTATGGGTCACCCCTCAACAAATGTTTCATCTATATTTTTAGCATTTGCTGTTCAAGATGCTTTGAAGGCTTAGTTCAATTACCACCTTCTCTAGGAAGCCTTCCCTGACCACCCCGAGTAACAAACCTCAGCTCTAACAGCTGGACTATGATACTTAGAGTTAAAGGCCTACCTTCCTTCCCAGATGATATTCAGCGGCCAGACCAGAACCCAGATTATCATTTTGAAGAAGGGAGAGGTATCATCTCCATTTTACAGATAAGGAAACCGAGGCTCAGGAAGCACAGCAAGTAGGACTCCATGAATATTTGTTTCATGAATGAATGGAAGAGTTCCATTTCCTTCCAGAACATCCCTCCGAACTCTTCCTGAACAGATTCCACCCTATTGTCTGCCTCAGAAGTCCCCTGACCCAATCCTGGGCCCCAGCAGAACAGAGAGCCTCACCTGTGGAACTCATAGTGCCCACTTCCGATGTGCTTGATCTTGAAGTTCCCGGTGAAGTCGGGCAGTGTGATCTTGTGCAGCTCGCTTTGCAGTGCCAACAGCCCCTCCTTGGCGGCTGTGGACAGGAAAGAACTGGTCGTCAGCATTATCTGACTATTTTCCTGCACTGCTCTGAACCCTTCAGTGGCTCTCATCTATCCTCGGGAGAGAGGTCAAAGTCCTTTAAAATTTATTTTATTTATTTTTGCTGTTGAAATATACACAGCAGAACATACCAACTCAACAACGTCTAAACACTGTGTGCACTCCAGAGACATTGATGATATCCTTTGATTTGTGCAACCATTCTCACCCTCCTTTTCTGAATTGTTTCCTTCCATTAACATCAAATCACTGTCCCCTAAGCTTCCTATCTGGTAGCATAGTGGTTACAAGTCAAGCTAATAACATCAAGGTCAGCAGTTCGAAACCACCAGCTGTTCTCCCCAGGAGAAAGATGAAGCTTTCTACTCCCATAAAGATTTACAGCCTCAGAAACCCTATACAGGGTCACTATGAGTCGGAACCGACTCCATAGCACACCACCACCAAGCTTCCTATGTAAACTTTTCAGTTGCTACTGTCAATAAGTGGTTCTTTCCACCACTCGTCTGTCAGTAGGCCGTACTGCGGTGGCTGGTGTGTTGCTGTAGTACTGGAAGCTATGCCATCATTATTTTAAATACCAGCAGGATCACTCATGGTTGATAGGTTTCTGTGGAGCATCCTCACTAAGACAGACTAGGAAGAAGGAGAGGTAGACCAATTCTGAGTGACTAATCACTGAACCTTATGAATACTAGCAGAAGGTTGTCAGGTAAGTGCTGGAAGATGAGCCCCTCAGGCTGGAAGGCACTCAAAATAGGACTGGGGATGAGCTGCCGCTCAAAGTTCAGTTGACCTTAATGACGTAAACAAAGCAAAGTTTTCAGGACGTTGATGGGACACAGCTCAAAATGAGAAGAAATGGTTTTAAACATCCATTAATGTGGAATGTATGAAATATGCATGAAGAATATATGAATCTAAGAAAGTTGGAAGTTCATTTCAAAAAAATGAAATGGAGCACATGAAGATTGATATCCGAGGCATTAATGAATTGGTCATTTTGATTCAGACAGTCACATGGTTTATTATGCCTGGAACAACATATTGAAGAAAAGTAGTATCACATTCATTGTCAAAGAGAGCATTTCAAGATCTATCTTAAAGTACAATGCTGTCTGTGATAGGATAATACCCATATGCCTACAAGGTAGACCAGTTAATACTAATAACATCTTCAGTCTGAAATTGATCAAACATGTAATCAAGATGTATCAATAATTACTAATGTTTGAAATTTGAAAGTTGCAAATAAAGGGCTCAGCAGTTGACAAATATGGTCTCAGTGATAGAAATGATGCTGGAGATAACATGATGAATTTTGCAAGACCAACAGACTTCACTGTAAATTTTTTTTTTTCAAAAGCATTAACAATGACTATACATATGAACCTCACCAGATGGAATACACAGGAATCAAACTGACTACATCTGTGGGAACAGATGGTGGAGATCAATATCATCAGCCAAAACAAGACCAGGGACAGACTGTGGAATAGACCATCTATTGCTCATATGCAAGTTCAGGCTGAAGCTAAAGAAAATTAAAGCAAGTTCACAAAAGCCAAAATATGACCTTGAATCTATACCACCTGAATTTAGGAACTGTTTCAAGAGCAGATTTGATGTATTAGATTTTAATTACTGAAAGTCAGAGGAATTGTAGAGTAACATCACAAGAACCATACATGAAGAAAGCAAAAAGTCATTAAAAAGACATGAAAAAACAACCAAAATGAATGTCAGAAGAGACTCTGAAACTTGCTCTTGAGTATACAGAAGCTAAAGCAACTGGAAGAAATGAGGGAGCAAAAAGCTGAACAGAAAGTTACAGTATTGGGGAAATATTGAACATAATTGGATTACCAGAAGAAGGAACAGATATATGTTGGAAGTGTACAGCCAGAAGTCTTCTGAGTGAGCATGACAAGATTTCTTTGGGCATGTCATCAGGAGGGACAAGACCCTGGAGAAGAACATCATACTTGGTAAGTGGAGGGTCAGCCACAAAGAAAAGGACTCTCAAACAGGTATATTAACCCAGTGGCTGCAACAATGGTCTCAAACATAGTAAGGATGGTGAGGATGGCCCAGGACCACGCAGTGTTTAGTTCTGTTATCTACATCGGAACTGACTGAATGCACATTGTTGTTGTTGTTAGGTGCCATCGAGTCGATATCGACTCATAGCAACCTTATGCACTGCCCGATCCTGGGCCAACCTCACTACTGTTGCCACATTTGAGTCCATTGATGCTGCCACTTTCCCAATCCATCTTGCTGGGTGTCTTCCTCTTTTTCTTTGGCCCTCCACCTTACCAAACATGATATCCTTCTCCAGCAACTGGTCCCTCCTGACAATATGTCCGAAATATGAGAGACGAAGTTTGGCCATCTTGGCTTCCAAGGAGCACTCTGGGTGCATTCTTTCAAAACAGATCCATTGGTTCTTTTGGCAGCCCACGGCACTTTCAATATTCTCCTCCAACATTGTAATTTAAAATCATCAATTCTTCTACAGTCTTCCTTATTTACTCTCCAGCTTTCACATGCATATGAGGTTGTTGAAAATACCATGGCTTTGATTAGGTGCATCTTAGTCCTCAAGCTGACATCTTTGCTCTTCAACACTTTAAAAAGGTCTTGTGCAGCAAGCAGATTTGCCTAATGCAATATGCCATTTGATTTCTTGATTGCTGCTTCCATGAGTGTTGATAGTTGATCCAAAAAGAATGAAGTCCTTGACAACTTCAATCTTTTCTCCGTGGATAAAAATGTTGTTTATTGGTCCAGTGGTAAGGATTTTTGTTTTCTTTACATTGAGATGTAATCCATACCGAAGGCTATGCTCTTTGATCTTCATCAGTAAATGTTTTAAGTCCTCTTCACTTTCAGCAAGCAAGGTTGTATCATCTGCATATTTCAGGTTGTTAATGAGTCTTCCTCCAATCCTGATGCCACGTTCTTCTTCATAGAACCCAGTTTCTCGGATTATTTGCTCAGCATACAGGTTGAATAAGTATGTTGAAAGAATACAACCTTGTTGAACACCTTTTAAATTTTACAGCATTCAGTGTTCCTATGTTTTATTCAAACAACTGCTTCTTGGTCCAGGTACAGATTTCTCATGAGCACAATTAAGTGTTTCTGAATATTCATACTTTGCAATGTTGTCTATAGCTTGTAATGAACCACACAATCGAAAGCCTTTGTGTAGTCAATAAAGCACAAGTAAACATCTTTCTGATATTCTCTGCTTTCAGCCGAGATCCATCGGACATCAGCAATGATATCCCTCGTTCCACAGCCTTTTCTGAATCTGCCTTGAACCTCTAGAAGGTCTCTGTCAATGTATGATTGTAGCCGTTTCTGTATTACCTTTGTTGTTGTTGTTATGAGCCATGGAGTCACTTCCGACTCATAGCGACCCTGTACAGGGTTTCCGAGGCTGTAAAACTTTACGGGAGCAGAAAGCCTCATCATTCTCCCACAGAACAGCTGGTAGTTTTGAACTGCTATCCCTGAGGTTCGCAGCCCGATTCGTAACCACTACACAAACTTTACTCACGTGGAATATCAAAGAGATTGTCCAATGATTTCCGCATTCCATTGGGTCACCTCTCTTTGGAATGGGCACAAACATGGATCTCTTCCAATCAGTCGGCCAGATTTCTTGGCAGAGATGAGTGAGCACACATAGCAGCAACAAAATAGCTTTTACTGTTTTTTATATTCTTTGTACCCTTCTGGATTCCCTTGTACTGTCTAACCTGGATTCCCTTGTACTAACCTCCTGTACTATCTGCCTGTGGATGTAAGAATTATTCTGGTTCCTAGTTTTAACTTAAGGAGCCCTGGTGGCACAACAGTTAAAATATTAATCCCCAGATTGATAGTTCAAACCCACCCATCAAGAGAAAGGCCTGATGATTGATTCCAGTAAGGACTGATGTTGTTAAGTGCCGCTGAGTCAGTTCTGACTCATAGCAACCCTGTATAGGGTTTCAAATGAGTAGTTGGTGAGCTTTGAACCGCCAAACTTGCTTTCAAACCGTCAAACCGACCTTGCAGTCCAGCACATTAACCCATAACACCATAGCCTAGAAAATCCCATGGGGCAGTTCTACTGTCATGTTGGGTCACTGAATCTGAACCAACTCCATGGCACTCAACAAGAATAATTTTTTATTAAGAACATACACAAGAAAACATATAACCAAGTCAACAGTTTCTACTCATACAATTTAGTGCTCTTGAGTATTTTTCTCAAGTTGTGCAAACATTGTCACCCTCTCTTTCTGAGCTGTTCCTCCCTCATTAACATAAGCTCCCTGTCCCCTAAGGTTCTACCTAATCTTTTGAGTTGCTGCTGTCACTTTGATCCATATAAAAATAAAAACCAAACACACTGTCAATGAACCCATTCTGATTCATAGGGTTTATAAGGTTCCCAGACTATAAATCTTTCCAGGGACAGTCTCATAGGGAACTGCTGGTGAGTTTGAGATGCTGAATTTGTGGTTCACATCACAATGGCTAACCCACAGTGCCACCTGGGCTCCTTGATCCTAAGTAGATAGCTCTTGTTGTTGTGTGCCATTCTCAGTTCCCCATTACAGTGACCCTGTATAGTTTTCAAGAGCAGTCGGTGGGTTTGACTGCTGATCTTGTAGTTAGAAGTCTAGTGTGCATCCTACAGAGCCACAGCAGGGCTCAGATAGATCTTAAAAAAGCATCGTGCCCAAGGTAGATTTCTTTTTTTTTTTTAACTAGTTAAGCTAAACTGGTTTTTAAGACGAGTTCAGGGAATATTTTCGGTTTAAGGATTATTTCATTACAATAGCTTCAGAGATTCATTAACCCTCCATAACTTCAGAAAATCTGGGGTCCAGGTAAATTTGAAACTCTGTTTTGCGTTTCCCTCTTTTTTGATCAGGATTCTTATATAGTATCTTTGATCAAAATAGCAACAGTTTTAAGGCACATGCTTTGAAACTTTACCAAGAATTTTTCCAGTGGGATTGTTTCAGGCACCTGGGGTGGTAGCTGGTTTCATAACTCCCTCTGGTTGCCAACCCCACACCCCCACCCCTCACCCCTGGCCAGTCTCACATTCCTGCTCCCCTAGAGTGTTTCCAGGAATCATGTCTCCATCCCCTACAGTATTTCCTGGAATCACACACAAATCCTTGTCTTTAGGTCTGCTTGCGGGGAGTCCAAATTAGGACAGGGCACTTACCCAATTTGTACAACTGGTGTATGACGAGGCATGAATCTTAGTCAGAGTGTCCCAAGGGAGAGTGTCCCACGTGGGCCCCCCACCCATGTACTCCAAGCAGCCTGGTGCCAGGGGGTCAGCCTCTCTTACCATATTCCAGGCCTTTATCAGTTATCCTGGCCACGAGACCAGGGGTGGCACTGTGGGCCCTTGGAGTGGATGTGAGCAGTAACCCCAGCAGTAATGAGGACAGGGCCCCAGCCAAGGCCCCCATCCTAGAATCCCAATGGGTCAGAATAAGACTGTCACAACTGCAGAGCCAGGCAGGACCCTTAAGTAGCCACAGCCAGAGGGCTCGGGGTGGCTCCTGGGGGAGGGATGGTGGTGAAAGCGGGAAGGGGAGGAGCAGGCACAGGAACTATGCTTGCGACACTTTGGGGATCACAGGTCATACTTGGAAGCCTGCCATTGTCCCTCCAGGTCAGAAGGCAGGTTGATCCCACACAATAACCCTAGCTTACCCTCCTCACAAAAAGACCCTACATTCATTCCCTGCGGTCTGCCTTCCTCTTAAGAGATCAGCCAAGCAGTCCTGGTTTTACAGATGAGGAAACTGAGATTCCGAAAGGCTTAATATCACACACCCAGCAGGAGGCAGAGCTGGGAATCAAAACCAGCACTGGCACCATCCAAATTCTCTCTTCTTTGTACACAACTCTGGTTTTTTTTTTTTTCTTTTAAAAAAAATAAATCTCCAACGTCCCTCCCCGACCTTTGGAAAACAGGCTCTTCCAAACCTTGCTGGTAAAATAGTCTGGAGGACAACAAGCCATATCTTAATACAACTCCACGCCCTGTGACCCAGCAATTCTACTTCTGGAACATAATTAAGGCAGCTCACAAATATGCCACGGTACTAAAATGCCCATTTCTGCTCTGTGTAACAGGTAAGCGAAAAACAGATGCAGCTTCAAGTATCCAACAAACAGGCATCAGTTAAATCAGTCAGCATACAGCTATCTAAGTGAGGCTGCAGAAAGAAATGTCATTTTAGATCAGAAGTGATGCTCATGAGAAGTCTGCTTCAAACAGCACCATATAGTAGGATGATGTGTCTTTGTTTAAATAGCTTTTCATGTTTACCTATCGGGAACATAGTTAGCAAGAAGTTATGTGGAATTCATTGAGGTTGGATAGGTGAGTTTATAGATGTTTAAACTACCAGCCGCTCCGCGGGAGAAAGATGAGGCTTTCTACTCCCGTAAAGATTTACACCCTCGGAAACCCTGTACAGGGTCGCTATGGGTCGGCTCCGACTCGATGGCACTCAACAACAACAACAAAAACCCTTTTTGCTTATTGGTATCTTTAATTTTGATTTTCTGGAGAAGGAGTTTCCTGAATATACTTTGTATGTATAGTGCCAATGATCATGAGGATGGCATAGGATTGGGCAACATTTCATCAGAGCTGTTTCAGTGGTGACTAATAACAAGATAATAAGTACAATTTAAGTTTGGAAATAAACTTGATAGTGGGAAATGTGCTTAAGCCTCGGGATTTCACCCCAGTACTCTCAACACTTTGTGAGATTTGCTCTGCCCCCACCTCCAGGAAGCCTTCCCTGACCATCATGCTCACATGCCTTTCCTGGATTAGAGTACTGCTCTCCTCCGAGGTTCTAGAATCCCCTGCACTTTCCCCAGTACAGCAACAACCACTCTCTGCTCTTTGGTAATTGTGGTCTTTTAAAATTGTTGTTGTTGTTATGTGCCATGGAGTCAGTTCTGACTCATAGTGACCCTGTACAGGGTTTCTGAGACTGTAAATCTTTACGGGAGCAGAAAGCCTCATCTTTCTTCCATGGAACAGCTGGTAGTTTCGAACTGCTGACCCTGAGGTTCGCAGCCCGTTTCGGTCTTTTAAAATGATGCCCACAACTTGACTGGCACTCTTCTCACCAAAAAGTGGAGGTAGTCCTTGAAACTGACCTACGGGAACCAATGGAATATGGCAGGAATATGGTAGTAGTGCCTTCACAAGGAGAGTCCGGAGGGCTTTGGGATTGAGGTTGGGAGCGGAACTTTGCATGGTGAGCATGCAGCACCGCACGATCTCGGTCCCTCTTTACTGTGCTGTTCCTATCCAAGAGGTTCATCCTTGGCGAGTCCCCTCACCATCCTGAGAACTGAATGAGGGCAGGACTAAGCTTCCCTATCTTGTGATCCTCCCAGGATCTGCAGAGAACTGGAAGGAAAGGGACAGCGAGTGAACAGTGACTGGGCCAGGTGCCTTATGGGTTACGCTACATACCTTCTCTCACCCTTGCAGCAGCCTGTCAGGTATCTGGGAGTGTTTCAGTCTTGTTTCCAGATGAAACTGTGGCTCAGAGGGTGAAGTGATTTGGGCTACAGTCACCCAGCAGGGATTTGAATCCAGATGTGTGGGATTCCTTTCTGGGGTGATGGTCATCGGGGAGGGCCTCTCTGAGGAGATGACATGCTAAACTGAGACCCTAATGATGAGAAGAAACTGGCCCTTGGAAGACCTACTCCAGGCTGAGGGAGCCTGGAGGCAGGAAAGGGCTGGCAATGTCTGAGAAACAAAATGGCAGTGGGCTAAAAGGAGGTTTATCTCCATTTTAGAGATAAAGGACTGTGGTTCAGAGAGGAGACTGACTTGCTCAAGGTCACATGGTCCTCTAATTCCAGGAGGTCAAGAAAGCACTCCCTGATCCCCAAAGCCATCACTTTCCTCTGATGAATGGGAAGGATACTGTGTCAGTCATTTACATCCTAGTGAGAATTAGTTTATGACCTCTTGGATTTCTGAACAGGGAAATAAGAGCAAAATGGAAATTACTGGCAAAATGGAAATCTAGAGGGAAGCAAATATCTCACCAACAATTACCATATTCAAGATAGTTTCACATTTGATTTTAATATAAGAACAGGTAACAATTATGGAATGTTTTTTATGTATTAGGTATGACACTAAGCTCAATATACACATTAGCTCATGAAAGCTCCCAGCAAGCCTCTGAATTTAGCCTTATTATTATGGAGAAGCCCAGAGAAGTCCATTCTTTTTGCCCCATGACCTTGACATTCTGATCTCTTTTACTCCTCTTTCTCTTTCCCATAATACTTCATACCAGTTAAGAAGGCAAATAACAAGATGCTGAAAAACTCACCAGCTGTATCTTCTCTTTAGAATGCAAGGGTAGGATTCCCCACCCCACCCCTATTGTTCACTGATGATTTGCAAACAGCTTGGAGTCCTGGTGTGGCTTTGTAGGATAAGCACTGGACCACAAGGTCAGTGTGAAGGTCAATGTGAAGCCCAAGGTCAGCAGTTTGAATTCAGCAGCAACTCCTGGGAAACCCTAAACAAGGTCACTTTGAGTTGAATCCGATTCGATGGCACTTAACAACCACAGCAACAGAATAGTGCTTGGCATAGAGTAAATGCTCAGTAAATATTTGTTGCCAAAGACCGCACAGCCCCACATGGTGTAATTCTATATCTCCTGCTAGACAGTCCTCGAAGAATCTTTAGCTCCTTTTACACAGGTGAAAACTGTCCCCAGGAAGTCATATGGTCAAAAAGAGGAGGAGGAGAAGGAGGTAAAAGGTGGGGCTCAAGTCCAGTGTTGTTTCCCCAAATGCTCTTCTCTAGGTCACATGCAGAAAGTTGGTGCCCCACATCAGCAAAGAGAGGCGGCTGGACCCTCTGGTCAGCAAGGACATGTCCCCAGTGTGCCCAGGACCATCTACTCCCTGAGAATGACTGCTGAGCTGCAGAGGCGTCCTAGGCTGGGAGTCAGGAAACCAGGGTTCTGACTAGCTTTGTTCCTTCCTGGCTGGCCATGTGATCTTGGGCCAGACACTTTTCCTTTCTGGGCCTCAATTTCCTCTTCTTAAGACAAGGGGGACAGAGCAGATGACTCCCAGGTCCCCTTTCAGCTTAGAGAATGGGAGGGGCCAGTCAGAGATTAGGAGGTCTCTCTTTGTGCTAGTGCTTTGAGGATGTCCCTGTCTGAGGGCCACTTGCAAGGGTGGGGATTTCTAATAGTAGTACACTTTGGACCTTAGCACTTCCCCTGCCAACATGCCATGTGGCCACAGGCCAGACCTTCACCCACACAGACATCCGCTCCCAACTCTCCAAGTTCCTGAGGGTGACCCAGGGCCCATCAAAGGCCAGACCCCTGAGCCCTTCTCCTACCAGCTGCCCCTCCAGGTCCACCCTGCCTTACACTTGTGAAGCTGGGCTCCTTTTTACAAGAATGGTGCTGAGTGCATTCTGATTGCAAACGGGCTAGTTGAAAAGGATTTGGGAAATCCAGTGTTCGGAAATCAGAATGCATAGAATACTGCCCAGCACATAGGAGAACATTGTTGAAAAGAATGAGCCTAAAGCAGAAATGGTTTAAACAAATATATAGTCAAAAGCATGGATTCTGAGGCTAGGTGGCCTGGGTTTGCATCCTGACTCACATTGGGACCTCTGTGACTCAGTTTCCACAACTGCAAAATAGGGGTGATAATGAGGCAGGCAGGCCTGCGGAAATAGGCGCTGGCCCCCACGCCCCCCATAGCTCATCCCTGGAGCAAGGTTCACATTCCAGGAAATAAGCAACCTCAGCCTCATGTGACTACGCAGGCTAATCTCTTCCTGACCCTCCTCTGGGAGGGGACAGAAGGCCGAGCTAATGGTCACCTGCTTCTGTTTCTGTAACTGCTTGCTTGTGTGCTCACACATCCGTCCCCGCTGTATGTTTGAACTAACCAATCCCAGGTAGCTCTGTGAAGGTAGGGCCCCACTAACCAATCCCAAATAAACTCATGTATGCACCCCTATTCCCTATAAAATATCCTCACACAGGGAAGATGGGGCTCAGCCTCTGGATACGAGTCCACTGAGCCACGAGCTAGCACAACCTGTGTGGCGTTGGCAACACCTTCAGAGCAACTCCAGGAACAATAATGGTAATTACTTCCTATGGCTGTTATGAAGGGTCCCTGGTGGCACAAAGGTTAAATGCATGACTTCTAAAGATGGAAAGGTCAGTGTTCGAACTGTAAGGACCAAACTGATTTTACCTGATTTTGCCTACCTAGAAACTGCTTGACTAAACTCTAGTCAGGCTCAGGAAAGTATTTTAAATAGACAAGGCCTCAGTTATTCCCTCCAGAGGCAAGGTCAATCTCCATTCTGTACATTAGCCTGAACACGTACTCTAGCTCCAAGAATATGATATATGTATAAATA